GAATATATCTACTTTATAGGGTCTGTGAAGCGTCGTTTTGGATGTTACATACATTATGAACAAAACCAAAATTAGCATACTCCCATCCTTCAATGGTGGATATGATAATAAAAGAGGGAAGAATTTATGCGCTACCCTGGTTGCTTTTTGCGTAAGAAGAGGAAGTTGAAAACAAATGGATCCCTAACTGTGCTTGCATATTGTTTACGTTCAGTTATAATATTAGTTTGGGGAAAAAGAAAACCATTATTTTTTCGGTAGATGGCTGCACTGATAGATTTCTCGTAAAGTATCGATCAAACAATTTCAGATTTATGCTCGTTGGAAATGTGACATTTCGCAGTAAAAAAAATTCTCTTGCTGTTTTTTGTTTGGTGCATTCAGTTGTGAGTTAGAGCGTGTTAAAAATGGAAGTGAACAAAGAGAAAATTCGGTACATTTTACAGTTTTTCTTTGACAAAGGCGAAAATGCAATCCAGGCGGCTAAAATTGTGAATGGTGTTTATGGTTCCGATACTGTAACAGCCAATTATGTGCAATTTTGGTGTCGTAGATTCCGTTCAGGAATTTTTGATGTTAAAGATGCACCTCGCACAGGTAGGCCGGTCGTCGAAAATGTCGATAAAATCGGAGAAATGATCGAAGTTGACCGGCATGTTAGCAGTCGTAACATCGCCCAGGAGTTAAAAATCGACCATAAAACAGTTTTAAACCATTTACACAAAGCTGGCCACACACATCTACAGTGGCTCGCCAGAAATTTCGGGAGCTTGGTTGGGAAGTTTTAATGCATCCGCCATACAGTCCGGACTTGGCACCAAACGATTATCATCTTTTTCTTGCATTGCAAAATTTCTTTAATGATAAAAAATTGGAATCTAGGGAGGATTGTGAAAATCGACAACTGGAGTTTTTTGCAAATAGAGACGAGGACTTCTATGAGCGAGGCATTTTGAAGTTACCTTTAAAATGGCAACAAATCATACAACAAAACGGTGCATATTTGACCCAAATCGGACAATCCGAAGCATGTTAAATAAAGTCCTGAAGTTCATATAAAAATAATGGATTTCTTTTTCCCCAAACTAATATAAACCTAATCAATTGAATTATAATGAATATGCCCTCAATTTAAATAATGAGATATTCGCACGACACTACTTCACATCTAGAAACAAATTTCAAACCTTTCGAATTAGTATTTAGAAAATTAGCTTACATGTGATGCGACGATGCATGTGATGCGTGAAAGATAACTAGAAAACTATACCAATGAGAGGGAGATTAGAGATCAGATTAAAATGTGCAAGTACAAAAATTATTAAAAAAAACTCAGGAGACATGATAATTCATAACAAACGATTCAAAATACCTATTGGAAATTTAGAATTAGTAAGAAGACTGAGCAAAACTAAAGTAAACCATGCGAAGATCCGCACAATATTGTGAAAATAGAAGATAATAAATATAACAATAGGCACGCGTGGTAATCACAAGACAAGCCATGAAAACTCAACAAAACAATATTACCCGTAAAATTTAATTTAAAAATATTGTATCGAAACGTAGGAATTAGCACTTATTGATCAAAAATTAATTTTTAAATATAAACTCGTAGCCTATACTTAAAATTATGCATATCTATGCGTAGGATGTGGTTCCTGCTCAACTCATAAAGAAAAAAAACGTAAGGATGTAGGGTGTTTATGCTGGGAGTACTGTAATATGTTTAGACACAGTACAATAAAGTCGGCACACGTACCACACAACATCCCATTATTTTATAGCCCGTTCAATAACTTATCACATTTCGGCTCTGTACATAATCAAAGCATATGGAAATTGTTCAACAAAAATAAGGAATCATCATAATTTTAAATAAATTGTAAATATTATAAAAGCTATATTTATTACGGCATACAAAGACATAGTTCTAATTTATGAGAATAGCGAATAGTTCGCTGCCGAAATAAACTTCATAAAAAGAATTAAATAAATAATGATTGTCTTTAAATTTTGCTATGATCAATCTCAGTGATTGAAACATATATAGAAGACCATTTGAACTGTAGACTAAAACTAATTTCTATGCGTCGTATGTCATCTTAATAAGATATATAAGATCCGATGCTAATTCATTAATTATTAGAAAATTTTCGTTATTCGTGTTTGTGATCTGCCCTGCTCAGTCTTAAAGTTAGATGGGAAACAAATATGATTGTGTGCGTATGGGCAACGATATTACTAAATACTTGGTCACTAACTTAAACTACCGAGCATTGGAATGCATGTGAGTTAATAATAACTATGTGTGTAACAATGTAAGTTAATAATTAGTTTGGCCCTTATAAAATTATAGTAACAAGAACAGACTGTGCAATAAAAAAGTACTACAGAATCTTTTAATCTTTGTGGACTATTTTTGACCAAACCTGATGCTGGGGTAGCTCAGTGGCTCCAGGTTTTGTTTCACAAGAAATGTCTCGTTTGCCTTGATTTTTCTACGTTTCTGTTCTCCTGTTGGTCGTCGCTGTAGAAGAGTCAAATTCTTGCGGTTTTCTTTTGCCTTTGACAAAACTTATTTCCACAAATTTAATGGCTTTATTTTCTCAATTTGAATTTATATAAGATTTTTTATATTTCCTTAAAATATTGTTTCTCTTGAAAAATATATTGCAGGTATTTCTTCTTTGACATTTGCAATTTTCTCCTATTTTCTACTTCAAAGTTCATTTTTCTTAATTTAAATATCTAGCACCATCATCGTTGTAACCGCACCAACCGGACCCAAACGTCCACTCTTTAACTCATCCCGGGACCAACTTACTTTCTCTAACTTACTCTAGCACTCACTAACCTGACTAAACTTCGGCTTTAATTAATTAATCCCAACGTATTTTGATTTCTCTTTACTCTAATTTCTCTTTACTTAATCCTAAGTCTCTTAGCCTAACTTACTCTAGCACTCCTCCTCAGAGACGAAGTGCCTGTGAGGCCAAAATGAGGGTCGACTTTGGTTCTTCACAGTACATACTCATAAACAATAAATGCCGCTACACCATCATCATCATCTTCTTCACCCCTACTTCAACTTCTTCTTTATTGTTTATTTCGTATGTATTAGCTCATAATCTTATTATTAAAAACGAAAAATATGAGAGACTTATTAAACATTAGAAACGATGTAAAAGAAAAATTATAATACATATACCATTTTCAATTATATATACAACTGAATGTTTATTAGGTTCTTTCGTTCTTCTTATTATTCAAAGATCTTTTACCAGCCGTTTTGTTAAATAAAAAACAAAGAATTAAGCTAGCTTTTTTTAGTTAGAGAAAAGTAGATTAGAAGAGTCGTTGAAACCAACTTTGGAGTCTCCCATATAAAATCATAGATTAGATATAGGGGTCTGGGCGTAAGACCATCCCATCTGATAGCCACATTTCGTCCGTCTGTTAGTCCATATATGTGATATAGCACATGTATTTCTTTGACGTAAACGTCTGTGGAGTGTCTGTAGGGTAAAATTCGAAATCCCCCATTTATCCTGAGCAAAGCAGCTTATCAGTGGTAGGTATATCCATCATTTTATAGCCTCCTATCTTTTCAACTTTGCGACTTTTTCGACTATTTTTTTTTTCTATTTAAAAAAAAAAAATTAAACTGAAGATAGGTTCAATTAATGAACAGATTTGTGGTCCTTAAGTACAAGTGACCTGATTCCATATCACAGACGTAGCATTTTACGATAAAAATCAAGTCAATTAAAGAATCTGCAGATTGTGCTCCATACTCTTTTCCAAGCCATCCAAGGTATTAGTAAACTCTTTTTCGTACTACTTTGTAACTCTTGGGAAAGTTTACATGCTTGTATCATTGATTTTATCTCCTTGTCCATTCTCAGCCACCGAGATTTTGCTAAAGCGTTCGTCTTTACAATATCGATATGTGACATATGTAATTGATTTAGTAACTGCTTTCGATATTTCTATGGTATGAGTTGTTGCAGAGACAACCATGTAATAAGTGAGTTTGCTAATTTTACTCATGAAGAGAGGTTTGATGGTTAGGAGACAACACTGCCACCAACTTCATGAGAAAGAGGAACGAAAACGACAAATGGTGGTCTGAAATGTGGTCGCATATTGCATTTTTTAGGAAATTTGCTGAAACGAAAAATAAAAGTGAAAATATTTTTGTCAGTAAAGAGTAGAATCCAATAAGAAAAAAGAGAGGAGATTTTCATTTAACGTAATATCCATCATAGGTGAAATGAAATTGTAATAAATATATAATCAAAATAAAAAAGTAAAACGAGATTAAACGAATTAAATAATTCAACCATATTGCAATTAACGCGTACTAGAGAATTGCGGTGAATGTTTCATGTTTTTTTTATCATGAGGTGTGCTTGTACATTTCATGCAAAAAGCGTGCCTAAGAATTACAATTTTGTCCATCCGATATTTCACAAAATTTCAACTGGAAAAGCTATATACTATTTAATAAAGCCAACATTAAATTCAGTTTACGGAATTTTCTAAAAAAAAAAAACCAAAGTTTATTTTAATTTCGCATCGCTGTAATCATCAAATTTATTCATATATACTTTTATTAGGCAAATTGAGGAGCGCAAAATTTTTGATAACTAATCTTTGCGCTTGGTAAATATTAAAATCTATGGGTTTGATATGGACTATACCTTGGCTGAATAGAAATCCTATAAAGAAATGAATTTTGATTTGGTTAAAGAACGGTTAACTTCCATGGCTTATCCTAGGGAAATAATACACTTTGAATATGATCCCTCTTTTCTTACACGTGGTTTATAGTTCGATGTTTTTTATGGTAACTTATTAAAAGTAGATGCTTATGGAAATATATTGATGTGCGCTTTCAACATTTTTAAAACATTTACAAGTCTACGAATTGTATTCGTAGATTGGAGAAGTTGCGTACTTAATTTAATCAAGCGGAAACTTATATGCTGGCTTGTTTAGTTGATTTTTTTTACCAGTGGTGCAGAGTATACTCCAAAGAAATTGTTGCCAAAAATTAAGACTGACTTATTTGCAAACAATGTCTTCTGCACTCTGCCTAAAACTCTGGACGCCATAATCGTAAATAAAGAAAAAGAATGGTCAAAGTAAGTGGAGATGTTAAGTTATAAGTTAATGTTTATATATTTGAAAATTAAAAATATGGAATGTATAAAAGTCACGTTGACTGATCAAAAGTATTTTTAAACGAATATTAATAGAAAAATAAATATACTCCTACTTGTAAAAATATAAAAAAAAAATTGTAAATTAGAATAACAATTAACGTGAGTTACATTTATTATATAAATCAATGTATTGAAAAGTAAAAGAATTTAACATTGTAAGAATGCATACAAAAAATAATAATACAAAGAATATAGAGAGGAACATAATATGTATGAAAAGGGATGCTCGGACCCAACTTCGAGATTTCCCAGAGATATCATAGACAATAGCAGAATACTCCAAGACTTAGGATATGTCCTTTCGGTAACATAGGTTTCGTCTGTCCGTCTATTCGTATAAGCGTAAAGCATTTGCATTTTTTTAGGTGTAATCGCCTGTGCAGTGTACGTGAGACAAAAATTTAAATTTCACCCTCCTCATCATATGAACTAGTTAGCTCAGCTATGACACGTACGACAATCTGTACAGCCCTCAATCCTCTTTAAGTGGCACTCTAGAGAGACCCTAAAAATAATAAAGTCAGTAGACAATAATTGGACAGACCTGAAGGACTTTATACATACCCCTATGTTCCATAAAAATTGGCGCCCAACGTGGGGCCTATCTTTATAAAGTTTGATGGTTTCGCATCTACGTGGAGCCCATCTCAGTAGTTTAATATGGTTTCCCACTGACGTGAGGCTTTGAAAAATTCATCGCTAGTTAATATGATACATAAATGTTATGTCTTTTATTTAGGTATATATCCATGGGTTCGAGATATGAGTAAAAACAGCTTGGAATTGTTGACCATTTGCTCATATTGCCATCGTCAGATCACTGTTTTTCTCATTTTATGTACTCTTCTTTGTATCCTGCATAGACGAATCAAACATTTATTTCTGAATGTATGGCATGGTGCAGTAGTTGACTGTAGAGGGTTCATTTGTAAATAGCTTTGACACTATTGTCGCCAAGCTGTGATTTAGGCTCAAACCATCCACTGTTTGCTATAAAGCTTAGTTAATGAGGGCTAATGCCTTGTGCTAATTCGAAAGAAGAAACATAATTTTGGACGAGTGTGATTTTCTAACTTACCGATAAACAATCCGAGGGACCTTTTGTCTTACCCTAATTAAATTTCTGCTCGTTTCTTACGCGACTGACGCATTTCATTATATATTGTTTTTTTTTGAATTTATTAATCGTATATTATATTTTTTTCTCTCATTTCATCATTAGGACTTAAGAGACCTGATCCGTAATGAAAAGCAAAAGGCGATTGAGACGTTCGATTCTTATTACGATGCAATTATGCAACTGATTAATAGACTTGGAGTTCCTATACCTGATAAAAAATTAGATGAGATTTTGAAAATGAATTTACCTTCTGTAGTCCACAATGTACTAATTCATTTCGACTTCGTTTTGGGAAGTGGATTAGTAAAGGAAGAATTAAACAAGTGCAAGTTCTCTAAAGAGATAGTTTGTGATACGATTGAAGAATACAAAGTAACAACGTATTGGAATTGTTCGCAAAGTGGTGATGGGTTCCAAGATTGCCCACCAGATAGGCGTGTATACTTTTAAGGTTATCCTAATATCCTAAAACCAAATTGTTAATATTCCAAAAGAACTTTCACGGTCGGTTGGCACGATGGTCATTGAAGTTGCAAGATTTGAACTTCTCAATAAAAAAATTAAGCAGTCAACATGATGTGCCTGATTTGTTATCCCGTGTTCATTCCGACGTCCTCGAAAATAGTAATAGTTTTTAGAACACTTGACTTACTTTATCGAAATTTAATTTGACTTCGGATGCATTTCAATTCTGCTTCTTTAGAAGAACGTCTTCAATCCAAGTTGGAAGAGTCACCTGAGGTGGTGATTCGAGACGATTGTATTTCTAAGCGAACCGAGTATACTACAGGAAATGCGGTTCAAGAGCAAAATTCGTCGAAATTATAGGTTCCATCAGATCTTAAAGCTGATTTAATCAAACTTGCACATGAGCATCCATTGAGTGCTCATGGAGGCATAGAAAAAACCATTTATCGTTTAAAAAGCTTTTCCTATTGGCCGAAAATGGTTAAACACATCTCAGAGCTTGTTTCCACCTGCGATGTCTGTAAGCAGACAAAAGTACTGAACCAAATTATAAGACCACCTAGGGATCAACCAATAACTTCTATTCGAGCCACTTGCGGTTATAACATCAACACTGTCAATTTCTGCTGATAACGTGGATAAGCCACCGTGAGACTTACCTAAACTGCTAAGAATAAAATTATCAAATTTGATCCCTATTAGGAAAATATAAAGTTTATTTACCTTTTGATTTTGACCGACAAACTGAGGCAAAGTGGGCTATTTTGCAAGAAACCGTGGCTTTTCCAACCGCATTGCTTGCATGATTTCCCTTTCCTGTTCGGTTTGTCTTTATTGTCGTTTATCTGCTTGCTCTGCGGATATTTGTTAAGGCAATATTTATTAATTGTTTGCAGTTAGCATGATGGTCAATACTATTCGCATTAAATGAAATCTTCGTTTCGATTATCAATGCTTTTTTAAATGCGTCACGAAGAGTGGGCGTATCGCAGTCTTGGCGTCTAAATTGGCGATGTCCCAGCATCGGATGTATCAAAGTTACTCTGGAAGCGCTTTGGTAGAAACTCTTTCTCTCTCGTGATCTTTTGAATCTTTTGCGGTAGCGATGAAAGTAGCAACCTGATAAGAAAAATTTTGAAAAATCCTTCTTAAATGTGGTCCGTGTCATCTACGTATGGCTGTTACTAGGATACCACATAAGCAACATGATAATTATAGTATCTAGTGTCTTATTAATGTCGAGTGCGTAAGCTTCAGCTAAACCTTTCAGTCATTGTATGGACTGCAATTATTTTAATTATTAAATTAATCGTCAACGAAATATGATGAACTTCTTTTTCGCTTCGGAAATAGATATCATGATATTCAAGATATCATTCTCTGGTTGTACGAATATATCAATCTGTTTATTCAACTTCATTGAATCCTCCTATCCTTTTCTATCAAACCTAGATACAAATAAAACCCAAAAATATGTGCATCGGCCTTTATTTATTCCTTTTCTTTTTTGTTTTAATAGTTATATAAAGTATTCAAGAAATGTGGTAAACTTTTGTGATATAAAAGATGTTTAAATTTGCAACTGAGTGTTGTGGTAGAAAAATGGGTTGCAGTATTTGGGAGGATTCCCTATGAATCCTTCCCTAGGTGTTGGTAGTGTTCTAGTTGTAGAATAGTTGGATTAGCCCTAGCCTGCTCGGCTGCAGAACGCCAAGTCTTTCTGCTTTTTAATAATGCCAATAATGTTCGACATAAAGCAGTCCCTGATCTTTGTTTTTTAGGCGGATTGAACGCCTTATATTTTTTAAGCGGGTTAATACGCTTGTGAATTGCTTTTGATAACAATTAATTCCTTTATTGAAATTGTGCACTATTTATACTTAATTTCTATAGTAAATTATGCTTACCTTAACAGAAATGGTGATTTTTTAATTGCATTACGAAATGCAAAACTCAGCCAGGTGAAATGCGACAAAATTTTTGTTTTGTTTTTTTTTTTTTCTGTCGCACTTTAAAGTGGATGCATACGACGGTATGCGATCACACCACACTTTCTTATCCTGCCAAAACCTATTCTTAGCTAATATTCTCAAATTACACTATGAGTTCATTGGTACCCTAGATTTGTTGTGTTTTCTATCTGTTGCACCTGTGATTTTATTCTCTTATGAGCGATTCGGCGCTTTTCTTTTTTTGATTTTTTAGTTCTGCCTAATTTTCTTTTAATTATCAATTCTCGTACCGGATTGACACTATGCGATCAAACAATAAGCTAACTAACGGTAAAAATAAATCCTTTACATGACGTTTATCAATTATCTTTTCTCCATTTGTTTTCTGTGTTTTCTAGCAGGATTAATAATAACGTATTGACATTTCTTTTTTGTTTTAATAAAACTCACTCCCGTGTCTGCCCTTCATTTATAACACTACATTAGTTATGTTATCTTTGTTCTATTTTGTTTTTTGTTTATATAAAATGATATGGCTGAATAAAACCGTGTTATTTGCTTGTTAATCCTCAGCGCCCGCTTTTTCGTTTAATTTTTTGCTTCGCAATTTGCAATTTCTATGGAATTTACTATGTAAGAGAAGTTGTCAGCACGGGTAGAGTGTGGTATTGTACTTTTTTTTTCTTTTTCAAAACAACAGAGCAACATAATATTCCGGCACTTTTATAATTATAGTTCCGCGATTAAGTATAGCGGTAAAAAATTACATATGTTTTTACAGGATCCGTCCTAGCTGCTTTTCTATAATAAAAAATATATTTATTTAATTATTTTCTTGATTGCAATGGTTTCATTCCTAGGACTGCTACGGCCCGTATTGACTTAAGTTTACGAATCTGTTGTGCTTTTTTGTTTTTTCACGTAGTTTCGGTTGTGTTTATATATTCACTATTCCGTTTGTTTGTCTGACCTTATAAATTTCACATTACTGTTCCTCCCTTTTTTTTTTTTGATGAGCTCATTACTTTTTTTCCACGCAAATTCATTTTTATTTTCAGGATTATACGGTCTTGCGTTTTTTCCTATTTTTTTGATAAGGCGCCTTCAAATTATGAACACCCTTTATAATTCAACTCTGTACTGGCTTCGGCCCAAGGAAAAGAGAAGCTAAAACAATTTTCAAAAAAGAAAATTTTTAACTATTGTACTTGCGAACAGACACTACTATATATTATATTCCTAAATTCTTTTTAATTATTTCACACTGTGACTACCACTTTTCTATATGTTGATCATTTCACTGCATTTTTGGTGAGTTTTTCTTCATTTGTTACATAATTCAACGACTCTATTCTCTCGTTGTTTTTCTTACTTTACGACGATTGCGATTTTAATTGTTTCGTTCTGGGAATAAGTGTCACAATTGGGTTTTTGGTACGAATTGATTGCGGTCTTTTGATTTAGTTCTTATGAAAGGCGAAATATAGGGCATTGTCGTTGCCTTCCACAATTAAGCACTTTCATGTCAATATATGTCATGGAAATTTGTTGTGTTATTACTTTCAATAATAATTTCTTTGTAATAATTTCTTTATGCATTTTTACCGTTTCTTTATTTTTTTACTATCTTGACAATAATTGTATGTGTGCTTTTTTAATACTAAGTTTTATTTTATTTAACAGTTTTATTAACTGACTTTCGCATTAATTTATGTAACACTTTTATGAATCAACTTTTCCATCATTTTATTTAACGGGCCTTTCTGTCAAGTTGAGGTTTTCAATGCAGATCGCTGCTTTCCACCGTTAGGTGAAAAGAACAAATTTTCTTGCCGGGGCGCGATCTCCAGCGATCTAGATGTTCTTTCACGAAATTTTATATTTCCTGAGCTTCCACTGTCAACCGAACATATCTGCGAACCTTTAAAACCATGTATGTTATCACCAGTATTAACTGCCTTATTCGATGCATTCACCAAATTTCTTACTTCTTCTGGCACTCACCGTATGCGAATAATTTGGGACTTATAATTTTAAATCATTAACCTACCAATATTTAAGAATTATTAATTTCTACCCTTAATACTTTTATAATCACATGTGCAAACTTGAATGATACTAACCAATAGACCAAACATGAACCAACCCTGAGTGATCTTAACACTCTGATAGCCAAATACAAAAAGTTATTTAGTCCCTTTTCTCTTTGCCTCTGCTTTACTCACATTGGCATTGCCAATCCCGGAAAGCTCTAATTCGATCTTAATACAGCAAGTTCGAATCAGAATCCTCACTGGTGATATACTTTCCCTAACTACTAGTAACCTCATGACGTCTTCAGCTAATGTTAAGATACCTAATGCTATTCTACAATACCTGTAATACGTATTCTAAATACTATGTGGAACCAAAATGGTACGATTTTGGTGCTCACATGTTTTTATTGAATGATGTTGTCTGTATAACAAAAATGTGGCTTAAATCGGATATCGATAGCAAATTACATGAAATTAATAGACGTGATGCAATTCACCATGATAAATTCATAGCATGGCAAGAAGTGGAATCGGTTTCTCTGTTATATAGATATTCTATGGTTATAGTGAAAGTAATCAAGGGTGTATGTAATCTAAACTGGAAGAACCGTATAGGGAACCTTTTTCGGTTGATACATCCGCCACTGAAAATACAATATTTGTCCTTAAATCTAATGTTGACATGCAGCTGAACGATTCACTAAGAAATTAAATATAGTGTAAGGAAGCGATTCTGCTTCCTTACGACGCACAAGTCCGTCCGCC